GTAGGCCGACGCTTCTGTCTCTGTAATTTTAGAAAATCCGGAAGTGATATTTCGCGAGGCGCATTTTGTTTTGAGAGTATAGATTTAGACCTTATAATATTTTGCATCTCTCAAGATTTATTGCCCCTTTCCAGTAGAGTGTAAAATATATAGTAGGCCAATGACTTCTAGTTGATATTAAAGCACCAATCATTCCTTTCATCGAAAGGGAGCCCAACTAGTATACAGTAATTATAAAGACAGTGAAATCTCATCATGATTTTGGAAGCCATTGAGTATAATCTAGATTCTAGATCTAGATTTAATAATGGTCGCTCGTTACGGAAGTCCTCCCATGAAGTGTTTCAGTGAATCAGTTTTTAGTTGTGTTTTAAAAAAAATAATTTTAGTATGAGTTTTACGGCACTTGCAACACAATAAGGTCATAATATAAGTGCCAAGTTAATTAGTTTGGGGAAGAAGGAAGCGAACGGTGCGAAACAGGCCCACACGAGAGGCTAAAGGGCACCACTGGCTGGTAGGTCTTAGGTCTTCTTTATTTTTTCCTCTATTGCTTATGTCTGTCTGTGCGGGTGGTTGGAGGGCGGCACTGGTAGGTCTTAATTATTTACTTTATTTTCCCTCTATCGTTTATGTATGTCTTACTTATTTACTTTCCGTCTGTTGCTTCTGTCTGTCTGTCTGTCTGTCTGTCTGTCTGTCTGTCTGTCTGTCTGTCTGTCTGTCTGTCTGTCTGTCTGTGTGTCTAACTTACATTTCCCCAGCACAAAATGACTACCTGTATTATTGTGTCGATGTGCTTCTCTTTACTCCAACAAACTAAGCCACGGGTAGGCCCACTTCATTTCAATTGTTATCTATTCATTTTTTTTTTTTTAATCAGTTTACTTCTTTATTTCTCTTTGCTTTGTAATTGTTTTGTTTTGTTTCATGGGTGCCATAACTCATTTACTGGCCTAAATTGTGTTAAAGACAGAGTAAAACAATAACAAGCTGTTTCTCCTTCTCTTTACAGTGTCCGCCCAAGCCGTGTAAAGTTTTGGGTAAGCTGTTCCTGGCGGGTACAGCCATCTTCCCGATGAGAAGGTCACATTCTTTCTGAACAGTCTGTACTGTAAATGACCTAAACTGTGGCGACATTGGCGTAAAACAACAGTAAACTGCTTGTCTCTCCTTCTTTCTACAGTGACCAGCCATGACGCGTAGAGATTTAGCTCGAGTGACTTAAAAAACAAACACAACATCGAACCGTTTCTTTCTCCCTCTACAGTGTCCAGCCATGACGTGTAAAGGTTTGGACAAGCTGTTCCTGGTGGGTACAGCCATCTCTCTATTAGGAGTCCACCTTCTTCCTGGCCAGTCTGTACAGTAAATGACCTAAACTTTTTCAAGGATGGAGTAAAAATAGTCAAATAAACATCAAACTGTTTCTTCCTCTCTCTCTCTCCTCGGTCGCCAGCCATGCCGTGTAAAGGTTTGGGCAAGTTGTTCCTGGTGGGTACAACCATCTCTCTGATGGGGTAGTCACCTTCTTCCTGACCAGCCTATACCGTATGCGACCTAAACTTAGTCGCTTATGGTGTAAAATACCATGGAACTGTTTTTCTTTTCCTCTCTCTACAGTGTTCAGATATGACGTGTAAAGGTTTGGGCAAGTTTTTCCTGATGGGCACAGCCATTTCCCTGATGGGGTAGTCACCTACTTCCTGACCAGCCTATAACTGGACTAAACTTTGTTGATGATGGCGTAAACATAATTAAATAACACCAAACGGTTTCTCTGTTCCTCCCTCTCCACAGTCGCCAGCTATGACGTGTAAAGGTTTGGGCAAGATTTTCCTGGTGGGTACGGCCACCTCCCTGATGGGATAGTAACCTTCTTTCTGACAAGCCTGTTAATGGCCTAAACTGTGTTATAGACGACTTAAAAACCAACCGTTTCTTTCTCCCTCTGCAGTGTCCAGCAGTGTCGAGCTATGACGTGTAAAGGTTTGGGCAAGTTTTTCCTGGTGGGTACGGCCATCTCTCTGTTTGGAGTCACCTTCTTCCTGACCAGCTTATAATTGGCCTAAACTTTGTCAATGACGGCGTAATACAGCATCTAATTGTCACTTTCTGATTCTGTAGTGTCCAGCCATGACGTGTAAAGGTTTGGGCAAGTTTTTCCTGGTGGGTACGGCCACCTCTCTGTTTGGAGTCACCTTCTTCCTGGCCAGCCTATAACTGGCCTAAACTTTGTCAATGACGCCGTAATACATGTACAAATCTAATTGTCACTTTCTGATTCTGCAGTGTCCAACCATGACGTGTAAAGGTTTGGGAAAGCTATTCCTGGTGGGTACGTCATTTCCTTGATGGGATACTCACCTTCTTTCTGACCAGCCTGGAAATGATGACCTAAACTGTGTTGACAATGGCGTATATAACACCCAACTGTTTCTTTCTCTCTTCCTCCCTCTACAGTGTCCAGCTACGCCGTGTAAAGGTTCGGGCAAGTTTTTCCTGGTGGGTACGGCCATCTCTCTGTTTGGAGTCCCCTTCTTTCTGACAAGCCTGTTAATGGCCTAAATTGTGTTATAGACGACTTAAAAACCAACCGGTTATTTCTCCCTCTGCAGTGTCCAGCAGTGTCCAGCTATGACATGTAAAGATTTGGGCAAGTTTTTCCTGGTGGGCACGGCCATCTCTCTGTTTGGTGTCATCTTCTTCCTGTCCAGTCTGCCTAGCTCTTCCTGGAGCATCTTACAGAGGGAGGCAGACGCCGCAAGCATAGGCCCCTACAGGTGACGGACGGGATTGTTTGTTTTAGTAGAGGTTTTTACGGCGCTCGCAACTGCATAACGTCATATGAGCGCCAAGAGGTGGACGTGTGTCAACAGAGAAGTCCTTGCAGGGAATCAGACTTACTCTGCTCACGTCTCTAGCTTCAGCAGCGCTAAGTCTGCTTCGACTATCAAAGCAACCCGAAAATAGCGGGTCACAAGAGCGTGACAAACAAACAAAAGAAGTAGGGGGGGGAAATGACGAAAGTAAGGATTAGGAAAGAAAAAGCAGCAATTCCCTGTTGCAGTTCACACTTATGAGCATGACATTGTTGGATCAGCCCATTTACAATTCTACTATGCA